CGTGAGGGGTGGGCGGGGGTTTAAGCATGCGTGAGTTATTATAATATATATATATATATATATATATATGAGATTGTGTCAAGCTAATATGAACACCCTTTAAAAAACACAATAGAATGGGATGGCTGAGAAGTTTATAATATTGTGTAGTGAGACTAGAGTAAACATAATTTTTCAGCCCCTTAAACACCAAAATAGAATGGGATGGCTGAGAAAAAAACACGACTCTTGTAAAAGCTAATAGATTACTATTAAATAAATATAAGATTCATAAATATTTTTGGGTTGAAGCAATAAACACTTCTTATTATGTGCTTAATTGAGTAAATATAAGTCAAGTTGAATAAAAATCCATATGAACTATAAAGAGGAAAAAGCCTAAATCTCTCTCATTTACATGTATTTGGTTGCACATGCTTTGTATTAAATAATATATGTGAAGATGAAGTTATTTTTTTAAAAAACTCCTTGGATGGAAAAAATATGTATAGGGTTTTTAACAAAAAGATGATGAATGCCACTAAAATTAGAAAATTCATGAACTTAAGAAAAATATAATTAGAATCAAACTTTACCTAGAGGATCAAGATACTTCTCAATTCATTTTAGAAATTGTGTCATAGGAGAACCACCAGTTGCTGTTAGGATTACAAATAATCCAATATGATAAGTTAGTCACATTGCATTCATATAATTGACCGAACATATCAATATAAATGAGGCTCTACCTAATTAGTTTTGGATTAATGCTATACAAAAAAGAGTTTAATAATTCATAAGAAATGATGTTTAGTAGATAGTGCTCAGGCCAAATGTTCAAAGTATAATTATAACTAAATGAATATTCAAAAACAACTTAAATATTAGATTAGCTATAAGAAACAAGGTTATATTAGTGGCCAAAAGATATATTCAATTTAAAAGAATATATTTTGAGGAAATATTTGCCCTTGTAGCCTACTTAAAAGTCATTATATTAGTATTAGTTTTTCCATGTTTTAAAGGCTCTAAGTTGTTTCAAATATATTTAAAGATATCTTTTTTTAATTATATAATTGAGGAGGTGATGCCCAAATTGCTAAGAAGCAAGTCGATCAATCATGCAAATATTTAGAAACAAGTCCGTGCATTGATCTCACGAGGATAGTGTTAAGCTATTTCTAACAGATGAAGTTCTAGTTTATTGAATCAATAAGTATAGTTTGAAATGATCGAATTCAAAAAGGAATCTAATAGTCAAAAAATGCAGTAAACATAAATGGCAGGAAAAAGTATAACTTCTTAGATATGCAAAATCTATACTATTATGATAATGGTTGGGTGGTTTCTTGGAGTTTTTCAATGTAATCCACACAATTGTTGACAAACAGGGACAAAAGTTTTATTCTTAAATCCATGCCAACGTCAGAAAAAGAATAAGAAAACCAATAAAATTAAGCTTCACTTAACCTTATGACGTTTTCTAGGATTCTTCCCTTCCGATCCCTCTAAGCTTTTTCATAAATTTTTTCTCCGATCGCACAAGATATAGTAAAACTACCGGGGTCTTTAAGCTTTTTAGAAAGATTCTTTTGATTTATTCCACTACATTCTTCACTTAATGCAACAGTTCATAAGCTTCAAACTTCCTCTTTTTGTTTAATATATCTTTCATAAATTTAGCATAACTCGACATTTGTTCCAAAGCTTCTGCAAACAGAATATTGATTGCAAGATTTTTAAATATCTCAAAAAATAATGAAAGGTGTTGTTCAAGCTTTTGTTGTCTAAGTCTTTGAGGAAAAGGTGATGGTGGTCTTTTTGAATCAATTTTAGTTAGAAGCATGTTGGCACAATTTTAGGGGTCCTGTGGAAGCTGTAGGTCACCAGAATGAAAATCTTGACGCCCTCTTCGAAAAGGCATTTAATTTATATACATATATTTAGTTTAGAAAAATATGAAATCAAACTGATCCTA